CTTGGAGCAGCTGCTCACATGGGACGGTTTCCAGAGCTCACCCTTGCTGCATTGCACCCCATCCCACTGCATGTGGGGCTTTCAGCTCTCAGCTTGTAAGCATGACTTCTCATGCTCAGTGAGATGTGGCAGATCTTCCTCTCGACGTCTCAGAGATGAGCTCTGGTGTGCTGGCAGCAGCACAAACCATGGTGGCCCCACTCAGCCCTGGCTGTGCAGCCTGTAGTGTGTGCAGGTGCCTTGTGTGCCTTCCCAGTGCACAGCCCACCACTCTGTGCCTGGCTGCCTTTGTGCCAAGACACTACACTTGGTTTGGAGGCAGGTTTGATTCTCATGCTGATGTCTCTGGGCATGCCTAGGGGCAAGGAGTGGCCTAGGAGGCCTGCACCATGGACACCTTTGGTGTCTTCTCTGTTCCCACCAGACCATGGTGTCAGGGGGTTGCCTGGAGTCCTGACTCCATTTGTCTCCCAGACATGCCTAGATGTGGACAAGCAGATGGTGTTTCTGAAATAAAATCTCTGCTCTCCTGAGGTTACCTCCTTTTTGATTGCTGAGGGGGCAAATGCAGCCTGTGTTATTTGCTTTTTTATAGATGGCTGTAGCCAGGCCAGTTGAATCCTTGCCTCTGCCAGGATTTGTCCATGACCAATTTCAAGGGGCAGTAGTCCCCTGAGCAGAGAGGCGTGTATGAACAGCCTCTGCATGATTTCCTTGCTTTGTGTGTCTGTCTGGAAGATTGCTCTCCATCCTGTTATACTGGGCAGTGCAGCAGAGTGAGAGGGGAGCAGAGAAAGCACACAACTGGCCTGAGAAGTACTTCAAATTTTTGTGGCTGTGTGACCCTCTCTGCTCTCACTAAGGCCTGAGGCAGCTGGAGAGTGACTGGTGCTCTGCTGCAGCTGGAGAGGCAAGGGTGATGTGAAAGAGAACTTTATTCTGAAGAGCGATTTCTCTAAATCCAAAAGGATACCCAGTATGTTTTCTAAGCTCATGGATGTTTTGCAAGAGTTATGAGGGATGGCAGAGACAAACTTTACAGTCAAGATTTCTGGGAGTCAATTGGGAGTTTTGGTTGAGTAAGAATTGGCATTAAAGTTCTGGATCTGACCCAGAGCAAGTAATGAATCTGTGGGTGAGGCTGACTCTAACAGAGATCTGCACTTCATGACTGATACACATGGGATTAAGTGCAAAAAACAAAGGGAACTGCCAAACAGGGCCTCGTGTGGGCTGGAGCAACAGTGCTTTGGGAGATTTTTCATATTGGCTCTAGCAAAAGCTTACTGAGGGTGGAGAGGGAAATGGGTAAGACTGAAGATCACAGGAGATGCACTCTTTCATCATCTCCCTTCTCTCTTCTTTATCTCAACTGCAGTGACAGTCTTTGTACACTTTTGAATCCAAAACTCTTCCTTTTTAAACATCTTGCAAGTGCCAGTGGAGAAAAACTAAGCATTACATAAGAAGCAGGGCATAGGAGTGACACTAGATCTAGCTTGGAAATTATTTTCTTATTTTATCTTCTTATTTTCTTTTTCAAAGCACTGGAAAAACATTTTTTGTTCTGACAGAGGCTAGAAAGTCAAAATCTGAAACATATTGGTGAACCAAAAATCTGGAAAAGAGCAGTAAGGTTAGGGGTCAAGTGCAGCACTTTGTTTAGATGATTTTCAAATGTTTTGGTTTCGTTCTGAATATTTCTAAATGGTTTCTAGCCACTACAATTATCTTAAATTTGGAAAATAGAAGATACTTTGAAAAGTAGAAGTTTGAGCAATTTGGAGGAAGAAGAAACTTCAAACTGGAAGCTTTACAGAAAAACTCCTTTCCTCAGGGAGAAAAATGGTTATAGGGGAATGCCATTGCATTATGTAATCCCCCAAAAAACCTGATCTTCTCTGCCTAACAACTGTCTCTGGAAAGGGATGGTGTTCAGACCCATACTTCCATGAGTTCACCTTGAGGCAATGTAGCTAGTCTCAGATCTCCTTTTTACTGCCCCAGTCTGTCCCTAGGACTTTCTTTCCTGCTTGTGGAAATGTTTGTGTTGTCTGATAAACACTGAGGAAAACCATATGTGAGCTGGGTTGCATTATGCAATATGGGAGGATGGGTTACTATCTTTCCTTCAACTTGTGAAAGTTTTCCTTTTTGGCCACATCTCAAGGGGGAATATTGCATTGCATTGCATTTCATTTCTGATTGACATTGGATGCTTAAAATTTACTTTATGTAGGCACAGGTTTTATTTGGCTGAAGGAATTCTTATATTACCTGAAATTTCTAGATCAACATGAGCCTGCCAGTGCCAATTCTTGCTTTACAAGCAACTACTAGATCCTAAGGCTGAATTTACAGTCTTATTTCCTTGTAAATGTCAGATGTAATTTTGGGAGAATGTTCAGATATATCCGATACTGATCAACTCACCATTTTCATTAGGATGCAGTCAAACCATATGCAGCTGAGATCCTTACCCATGCCCTTGAGGAAATCTATTGACAGGGTATGGAGGCAAGCTTTGGAAAGAATAGACATGAAAAAGTATAAATCCTATATTAAAGTTTTATAAGTTTCATTACACAGTGATATTTCAATTACTCTATGGGAGACTTGGATGAACCTACAGGAAAAAGGCAGCTGTGGATTGGTAACTTTTTGCTCTGCTTTAGTTCAGGCTATTTCCATTTGATTAGAAATAGGAAATCCCTTCAGCTGAAGGGGTAACACTGGACCAATTTGCACTGAAAATTAAGAACCTGAGGAACTTTGCAGTGGTCCCCAGTTGTAGTTAATGTCAGCAAGTTTTGAGGCTCTTTGCCACCTTTTTGGTTATTCCATAGGACAGAGTTAGCTCTTGCCAGCCAGGGAAATAACTGTAATCTCATGTTACCCACCAAAACTCTTTATCCAGAGCCCTATGCCTCCAGAGGGGATCCAAACTAGAATTCATTACTGGAAAGATGAGGACAGACTTTTTAGCCTATTGTGATAGGACAAGGACTGATGCTTTTAAATTAAAAAAGGGTAATTTTAGATTGGACGTAAGAGAGAAGCTTTTTACAGTGAGGGTGCTGGAACATTGGCACGCATTGCCCTGAGAATGCTCCATCTCTAGAAACATTCAAAGTCAGATTGGACAGGGCTTTCAGCAACCTGATCTAGCTGAAGATGCCCCTGTCCATTGCAGGGCAGTTGGACTGGACAGGCTTTAAAGGACCCTTCCCACCCAAACCATTCACAATTCTATGAAAAGGGTGAGCCTTAAACCTGCGAGCCTCTTCCTCTGTGTGCTCCCTCCAAGGCAAGTGCACCTTGAAAGAGTGGAGAGAACATAATAATTTTTTTTTTTTTTTTTTTAAATACATGTGGAAAATCCAGTAGCACTGTGATTAAAGAAGTGTGCAGCTAGACATGCTCTGAATCAAGACCAGATTGGTAGTTAGCACCAGGAAAGGATTGGTGTCTTGTGGGGAAGGGTGTTTGACTAAATCCTTCTGACACTCACATTATAATGGAATACTTTTGGTGACTTCAGAGCAGTCTGGATAAAATGACAATAGCATGTTTCTGAAAATTAATTTTCAAATATAATGAATATTAAATATCACTTACTAAAGTACCTCATATGTACTTGCCAGGTTGCAAGCAATAGCTAAATTCAATGTTCTTCCTACCATTGAAGCACAATTATTCTCGAGGAAACTAAGGTACCAAGGGAGTGATATGCCTTACTGCAGGCAGCTGTGAAAGGCAGAGCAAGGCTCTGGAACGGGGAGTGCTGGCCCCTTGTTTTGTATTCATAATGCTCTTTCTCCTGCACTTCACAAGAAATGCACGTTTCAAAATGTGCATTTTCTAACTCCCTGGCCTACAGCTGCAATCTTAAGCACAGCAGAAAGCAAGCTGGAACCTCATAAGGAAATGGTATGCAAGGTCTCACATGCACTGTGCACTCACTTATGAGAGGGCTCAGCAGATCAATTAAACAGACATTTGGTTTCGTTGCTTAGAGTAGCAAAAAGCTGGTTTTCTTTCCCAACCTTTGGTTCAAAGCACTTGACTTTTATCCTCACATCTTCTGTCCTTTAGGAAGGGCCATATGAAATGCTCATTCCTCTCAGTTGTAGGAGTCATGCTTACAGCTGTTCAGTCTCTAATTGTGTGAAGCTGTCCCCAGAAATGCAGCCTCAGAACTGCCTTTTACGGAAGGGAACAATAAGGCTTAATATAGTGCCTGGAGTGATATAGAGTTTGAGGCAGATTGGAGATTAGTACATTGTTTGTGCTGTAAAGGATTTCTTGCTAGGACATTAATAGAAAAGGCTTTACCTAATCATATTGTTCGCAGGCTTGTTTTGTTTTGCTGAGGTGATATGCAAGTCCCTGACACTCAAAAGGTAGCAAAGTTCAGCTTCCAGTTTTCTATAAACCAAAAAAATGATCCTTTCAAAGTATTGAGCTTGGCTTGAAACAGATTTTACAAGTGGAGACATTTCTGTTTCTTGCAGCTAATTTCTGACCCTTTCAGCAAAACTACAAGTTATGTTTCTATGCACAGGGGTAAGAAGTCTCTGTGAAAGGGAGAGAGAATGGTGGATGAGGTTCACACATAAATATTGAGCTGGACTTTAAAAAAATTACCAGATTTCACAATACCCACAGTCAGAATGTGAGGGATGGTGACCCCTTGGATCAGAAAGGATTTTTTTTCAGGATTGTCTCTGTTGACTCTTAGTTTGGGTATTTTCCTTCCCTTCCACATGTGACCCTCGTTTTCAGGGTCATGTATGTATTGTATGTATTAAATATTGGGAAATCTGCTTTTTCAGGGCACACCACTCTCCCCTGCTGCTTTTGCTGCAGCTCTTACAAGGAGCAGGACAGCTTTCTCTGTAGCCCTTCTTTAGCACCTCTTTCCATACAGTTTTGGAGGCCTGTTGAAAGCAGTTCTTTATTCCCCCATCTGCTATTAATTGCCTCTCTCTCATGCTCTCTAACTCCCTCACTGCCCCTCACACACCCCTGCTTCTGGGACAAACTTTGAGAGGAACTTGCACTCCTCCAAAGGCATCTATCACCAGTTAAATCCTTCTAGAACATTGCCACTCTTGCTGAATGCAATTTGTTCTTTCCATGCCAAGGTTTTCTTTAGGAAATCCCCCAGATGAATTAAAAATATTGTTCTGCATTTGCTGGGACCTCTGCCCAGTGCTGCTTGCAGTGTACAGGCTGTGCTTGGTGCTACTTGGGTCAAGACAGCTCAGAAAAATCTCATGGCTGGGTATCGGTGCTTCTAAGCCTGTTGGCTTACACACACACACACACTGTGCCTCTCTCTCCTTCAAACAGGAAACTCAACTCAGCATGTGGTGAGTAACCAAATATCAGCAAAACCTTTCTTGCATTTTCTTCAATTCTGTTAAAAAAAAAGAAAATTGAGAAGGAGGGGAAAATCCTGTGTTAAAATAAACTCTTGGGTGTAAATAGGTCAGCACAATCAAAAAATCTGGGTGTTTAATGGAGAGATTCTGGCCAAGATTCATTAGCGACTGATGCAGTTTGAAGAAGTGAGTTTTGTGGTGCCTGTAAGTTTTTAAGAAACTTGGAAGATGTTAAAAAGATAGCAGATATTTGTGTGGGTATGGGGTCCAGCCTGTGATGAAAGCAGGCACAGCTCTGCTCAAATGCATTGGAGCTGTGTAAGAGTTTTGGCTTTGGCCGTAGAAATAACACAGGTACAGGTTAAAAAAGGTCTGATTCATTGCATTTAAGTCCATTGGGATTTGTATGGTTGTCTTCATGGACTCTTTGTTTAGCATACATCTTGCATAACCTGTGATTTATCTATGAGGTCTGAGCTGTGGCAGAGTCAAAGTTCATTTTCTTTACAAGAAAGATATCATACGTTGATTCAAAGTTTTCAAGATACAGAGGACACACAAGTCCTTGGGTTAGACAAGCCAAGGGTTAATTACCTTTATCTGCCTGAACATACATCATTCTGCTCACTGTTCCTCATGCTTGGCCTCTGCCCCCCTGGCATGAAGTGGGTTTGGTGTGCCTGTCTCTCCTCAGTCTCACTTGCTCTACTGCCAGCTGTGCTGCTGCAAGGTGAATGCTGCTTTTGTATGTGAGGTGATCAAAACAGAGTAAAAGCTTTGGACAGCCACAGTGCTTCCTGCTTGCTCAGTGTCCAGCCAGAGATGATGGGAAACCGAGCCTGATACCCCCCATTGGGAAAGGACCACAAACAGGAGCATACCTACACAGCCTCCTCTCCTAAAATTTGCAGGTTTGCACAGGGAACATTTCACACATACAGCTATTTGCATTTCATCCTTTGATTTTTAAGGAAAAAAACTTCTAGACGAAATTTTGATATAAGAGCCCTTTATTGTTCAGCTTGAGATGGTTTTGTGATTGAAATTTCATCTTGGCTGAGGCAGATGCTTACATGGCTAGCCAGAGATCTGGACAACAAAAAAAAGCTGAATGTTGACATCAAAGTTTGGCCCACTGATCTTACCAAAGAGAAGGTATTTCCTGAATGGGAGACAGCAAGAGCCATGCAGTTCATACAAACTCCCAGTAAGAATATATGATGTTGCTGTTTGCAGAAAATCATTACCAGATTGCACATTGATAGTAGGTGTGTGCAATCCCCGCGGGTGCAATAGGATGGGTGAATAACATCTCTCTGTGGTACATTGCAAAGTCAAGGTGATGGCAAGCAAAGATCTTGCTTCACACTTGTTGGTCATGCACCATTCTGCCTTTGTGCTGGGCAGGGACTCTGTGCAACAGGGAATGTGCCATGGGAATGGCCATGCCCCCAGGGGCTTGAAGGCTCAGCCTGGAGCCTAGCAAAGGAGAGCTGTAGCAAGGACAATTAAATCTTGGTTGGCCTTCTGCTGCACTCAGCATGGAGGAGGTTTCTCTGGGTTCGTTAACACAGCTCTGATTCATAACCTCGAGTGGAAGGAGGCCAACAAGCACAGCGTGCAATTCCTCTGAGTGGGCTCTTCCAGTGAAGGGGAAGAAAAAACTGTAGCATGCTCTCCCCTGAGCTGCTTGAGAGATGACCTAAGAGTTTCATTAAAATGTCATGCCATTGTAATATCTTTTATAGTGAAGAGTGGATCATTCACATTGCCAGGGAAGTTAGTATGTTGCTATAGTATTTTACCAAATCCTTGTTTCTGTTTCTTTGGTGGAAAGCAGGCTGTGTATTCTGTGAAAAACTAATGTTAAAAGTCCTCCAGCTATTGAGGATGGCATGGGACAACACTTTTTTTCAAACTTTTTCTTCAAAGAGTCTCAGAGCTGAGTTGTGTCCTGTGGATCAGGTGCTGATCTAATAACTTGGGATCAGATCCTTTTCCCAGCCCAGCAGAACAGGCTTTTGAACTCAGGGTGGTGGTAGGAAAACAGCAATGTATTTCTCAAAGGCAGTCACTTTTTCTGACCATGACTTTTCCAAGACCAGGACCATTATCTTTGTAGATTTGGTAATTTCTCATAAGGGGTTGACTAAGAACTTATGCAAATTCATTTGTGTATGAACTACCTCCTGTGTATGTTCATGAAGGAATTTGCACCTTATATGTGGTGAGTTGTGTGACTTTTTTGATAGGGTTGTTAGAGCTACTCTTCAGAAGGCAAAAACTACAAGACACTGTGGACATGGCTGCCCATAATGTGCTATTTTAGATCCCTACAATGCTCACAAAACAGACCTGACTGGGAAGCAGTGATCTCTGAACTGGGGGAGGCACACACCCTAATTCACTGAAAAAGCTGCTGATGGAATGATTAAAAAAGATTTTGTTTCCTGGCTCTTATATTGTGCTGAAGCTATTCTTCTAGTCATAGCTGAGTTTCAGCCAGCTCCCAGAGATGCATAATATCAGACTTTTCTTCTTCTCCTTCTAAATATCACTTTTTTACAACAATTGAATTCCACTAGTCTGAGAGGGATTTGGGGAAAGCTTTTAATATTCCATATGGCTTTAGGATTCAAAGAATTTCCATGTAATGAAGTATTGTCTTCTGGACTTTTCCTTTTCTGCTTTATACTTAGCAGGCGGTATTCTAACACTAGCAGCTTGGGGCAGTTTAAATTTCATATTAGAACTGTAGGATCTGAACTGAAATCCCAAAGGGAATTTTTATCCCTTTTCTTTTCAGCATGTGTCAATGGGAACAGTTCTCAGAAGGTCAAGAACAAGTGCTGTCCCTAAATATAAAATTCCTTTGGTTATCACAAAAGCAGTGTTCACCACAGGAAGGGACTGGACTTCTGAGAAGGGTGCAAGTTTTGATTTCATAAAGTTTATTTTGCAGAAGGGTTGTGGACAGAGTCTTGGAGACTGGTAAGAATCAGTGAGATATTATCAGCCCACAGCAAGGTTTTATGTTCCAAGGCTCCTGGCACGTAACCTGGGTCCTTCATTTCCATGCTACTGATTCTGACAATATGTTACATAAAAACAAGAGTAAAGAAGAGGTTTTATAACCACATTTTTCATTGTAGACATAAAGCAGATCATGCCGTTTGGTATAAATGGGGCAAACGTAGCTTATAAAATTTATTTGAGAAGGACCTGACTGCAAGAAAACTTATCTCAACACTCTCATCAGTAATAATGCACTAGTGTTACAGCACCTCTTTTTCATATTGGGGAGCACGAAAAGCCAGTTGGCTTTATTGCACATGGAAAGGCCACCTCATAAATGTGGTGTAATCCTTGTCATGAGGTGTTTTTAAAGGTTCTTGTGGGAACTGTTCGCAGTTTTCTTTTCCACTTTTGTTTTTTAAATTTATTTATAATGAAAATATTAGAGTACCACTGTTATTTTCTTCGAGATTTTTATGGTCTTTTATTTTTTGTAATTCTTAAGTTAACATTATCTAGAAACAATATAGTTTGAAATATTTTTTTCCTTTCTTCTCCTGTTTTCTATCCCGGTTTTCTTCCTCCATCCTCCTCTGCACTTTTTTTTCTCATGTCTGTAAAACCTCATGTAATGGTGGAAAATACCTCTAAGAATAAAGAAATAAAAAGGGAGAAAGACCAGTTACAGGAAAGAAGCCTGGGTCCAGATCCCTGCTCTGCTACACATCTTTCAAGACAACATTATTAAATGATTCTCTGGCCTAGATTTTAAGCACAAATTTGAGCAGGTATTTAAACCCAGACTTATCCAGTGTCCAAATTGTCTGGGAATAGGTTTAAGAGAGCTCCTGAGTAAAGCTGGGAAGAAGCTCAGGCCAGCCTTTAGAGGAGACACATGTCTTGGCCAAGGTTCCCAGCATTTGTCAGATACCTTTCAGCCTTCCTGTGGCCACCACACGGCACTGCTGGGACAGATGCTCCCCCCAGGTCACGGCTGGTGCTGGCCCAGGCAGCTGAGTGACAGATGTGTGGACCCCCTTGGGGTCCTGATGTTTTCTCTCCATCAGACTTGGGCTCTCTGTCCTCGTGAGTGAATAGGGACATAAGATTTCCTTGCCTCAAAGCCCTATTTTAAAAAAGAGTAAGTAAAACCTGGGATGCAGGGAGGTACTGTGTTAGGAAGGGCCACAAAGCAACTATGACAGCTCGCTGTTGTCAAGGTGGGGGAAATGCTCTGCTGCCATTACCTAGAGGCCCATGGGAGCTGAGATGTTTCTTGAAAGGTTTCTGGGAGGTCCTGCAGGCTGGCTTCATCAAATCCTCATGTTCCTTTATGAAATACAGATGCTGGTGCTTGGAACATTTGCCTCCACCAGTCACTGACACACAGGTGCCATATATCCTGAACCAAACAACTGCACTGCAGCTAGCAGAGGTGGAGGTGGGTCTTGCAGGGCACGTTTTGCCTGACAGGAGCCATAAGACAATAGGAGGTAGCCCCTACTTCCTTTCCTCCCATTCCTGGGATGAAATGCAAAAGTATGTTTGGAATTTCTTCCTGAGCGAAGCCTCTGTTTGTCAACGGCTTTGTTTTGTTGATGGGGCAAAATATGGAATGGAATATCTTGAAAATTAGCACCTGAACTAGAGGGATGGAGCATGATGCAGTGTCTTAGGAAGGCCAGTGCAGGTGGGGCTTAAAATTCCAACACAAGGAGTTCTGCCAGAAGCTGGATTCAAGTGAATTATTCTGTTTAGATTTTCCACAGCATGAAGTTCCTGTAGTGTCAATCTTCATCTATCTGTTTGTTAGAGCCACTTGCAGAATGCCATAGGGAATAAACAGCTCTTAGCTTTTTCTTTGGTGGGGTGAAGCCCAGTGGTGCAGCAGCAGAAGAAGCCTCATCTTGTGCTGAATGCTGCCCTGAGTGTAGGGGTAAGCAGATTCCAATTTATATGCCTCTCAGTGGGCT